CCTTCCTTCCCTCCCTCCCTCCCTCCCTCCCTCCCTCCCTCCTTCCTTCCTTCCTTCCTTCCTTCCTTCCTTCCTTCCTTCCTTCCAAGACCCAGGTATTGTTGTGAAAGAGGGTAGAAAAGAGTGTAATACCCAGAGGTGGTAGATGAATACAAGAAAGCATTTTCTTCTGAACACAACAAGGTAGTGGCACAAAGAAACAGCAGTAGCGGCAACATGCACAGAACCAAGCTCAAGCAGGCCAAATGCTAGCATAGAAAGGGGAATTTTGCACAGAGTCCTACTGCTAGCTGATGAGCTGTTGGTAATTGTCAGCCGCTTGGAGAAAGAAGGTCAATTTTCTGTAACAGTGTAACCCCAATAAGTTGACGATGACCATGCGTTAGTAGAAGGCCACACATTGAGTATATTTGGATAGCACAAACTGACCTTGGTAGGAGAAAAAAAAAATGTTGTAACATTGAACATTGGATGTGTAGATAAGGGCAGGGTATGTCTGGAATTGTGTGAAAGAGAATGAGCATGATCAAAAATCATTGTATAAAATTCTCAAAGAAGTAATAATAAATATAGAAATAGGTAGAACTGTATGAAATTACCATTTACTTAGGTAATTGTCAATTGAATACTGACAATTCCTTATGTTTCAACCCAAGAAAAAGTTTGACAACAAAAATGAAAGAGGAATTTCCAATTGTTAAGTATTTTTTTTTGGTTTCTGATGCTATTTTGATGGTATTGGACTCACTCACAATAAAGATTGTCAACCAGGGAAGACTAGAGAACAACTGGACATAGAAAGGCAGAAACAAAAGTTATATCACTTTACAAAAAAGATTTCTTTAAACATCGAATTCTCTAGAATTAGATGGATGAGAAAAATATTTGCAAAGATAAATGACAATGACATTTGCTTAGGGTAGTTTAGAAGTTATTTTTAACTATAATCCTATGTTTAAGTGGGTTTGAAATTTAAATTCACAAAATCTTCATGTTAAGAAATTCGTGAGCTTAAAATATTAAATTATCTTCTCTTACTTTGCTTCTGAAAATGAATGGACAGCCTACTTTGGGGTCATTGTCTTGTAGACCACAAAGAAACTCAGAATGAAATATTAAAAAGAAGCTTCCTACTGTAGATATAGGTGAGCTGATACAGTCCCTACCTGGTTTGAACATAGTCCTGGGCTTAATCTCTAGCAGAGGATAAACTAGGCAGCTCTGTGGCCCATGCCTATAATCCTAGCACCTGGGAATTAGAAGCAGGAAGACCTGGAGTTCAAGTCATCTTTGGTTACACAGAATTGAAGATGCGTGAGACCCGTGAATAACAAAAACAAAGGGGATGGCCTGAGATTACTAAAATAGTAGGAAGAAATTACTCAGAAGAAGAAAAGTTTACTTGGTTTGCTTCTAGGTTTTATTTATTTTCTTTCAAGACTGATCCCTATTTATATTTACTCACTGTCAGGCAGCTAAATTTAACTTAGCAAAAATCTAAAACCTTATTGATAGAGAATCAGAGAAAAACACACAAGGTCAGGTAGAAACCAAAATTCAAGGGGAGGAGGGGATACCGGAAAGTCCAGGAGACCAAAGTGCTGCTTCATAAACTCTAGATATCGCTTATACCAAACACAGCCTACAATAGCTGAGTAGACACTGTAGCTGCTACTCAGTATCAGGGAGTCAGAGCTTAACACAAAAGACTAAAGGAAGGGCTGATGAATGACTCAGGAGGAAAAAGAGCCCGCTACAAAGACTCTCTGGAACACCCATGGTAGGAGACAATTGATCCTCTGACCTCCACCCACGAATGCTCATACTATGCACTAAATAACCAAATATATCTGTGGTAGGCTCCCGTCCTATAGTTAAAAATAAATAAAACCTAGGCTCTCTCTTCTACTGCTTCCAGTGTCTGTCCTGTTTTCCTTTCTGAATGAGAATTAAGCATCTTCCCCAGGATCCTCCTTGTTGGTTAGCTTTTTCAGTTCTGTAGATTTTACTATGCTTATCCTATATTACATGGCTAAGATCCACTTATAAGTGAGAATATACTTATGCCTGTCTTTCTGCTTCTGGGATACCTCACTCAGGATGATCTTTTCTTTTTTTTTTTTTAAGTTTTTTTTTTTTTTATTAATTACACTTTATTCATTTGTATCCCCCCATAAGCCCCTCCCTCCTCCCCTCCCAATCCCACCCTCCCTCCCCTTTCTGCATGCATGTCACTCCCCAAGTCCACTGATAGGGGAAGTTCTCCTCTTCTTTCTGATCTTAGTCTATCAGTTCTCATCAAAAGTGGCTGCATTGTCCTCTACTGTGGCCTGGTAAGGCTGCTCCCCCCTCAGGGGAAAGTGATCAACGAGCAGGCCAATCAGATTATGTCAGAGGCAGTCCCTCTTCCCATTACTATGTAAACCACTTGGACACTGAACTGCCATGGGCTACACCTGTGCAGGAGTTCCAGGTCATCTCCAGGAATAGTCCTTGGTTGGAGTATGATTTTCTGGGAAGTTCCCTGTGTTCAAATTATCTTGTTCTGTTGCTCTCCTTGTGGAGTTCCTGTCCCCTCCAGCTCTTACTATTTCCCACTTCTTACATAGAATTCCATTCACTCTGCCCATCAGTTGGCCATCAGGCTCAGCATCTGCTTTGACAGTCTATACTGCAGAAGCTTTCAGTGGCCCTCTGTGGCAGGTTCCTAGGTTGTTTCCTGTTTTCTTCTGGCTTTCAAGGCCCTCTGTAGCAGGTTCCAAGGTTGTTTCCTATTTTCTTTTTCTTCTGATGTCCATCCTCTTTGCCTTTCAGGATGGGGATTGAACATTTTAGTTAGGGTCCTCTCTTTTGCTTAGTTTGTTTAGATGTACAGATTTTAGTGGGTTAATTTATATTGTATGTTTATATGAGTGAGTATATACCATGCATGTCTTTTTGCTTCTGGGACAACTCACTCAGGATGATCCTTTCCAGGTCCCACCATTTACCTGCAAATTTCATGATTTCCTTATTTTTCATTGCTGAGTAATACTCCATTGTATAGATGTACCACAGTTTCTGCATCCATTCTTCAGTTGAGGGGCATCTGGGTTGTTTCCAGCTTCTGGCTATTACAAATAAAGCTGCTACAAACATGGTTGAGCAAATGTCCTCTTTGTGTACTTGCGCCTCTTTTGGGTATATGCCTAGGAGTGGTATGGCTGGATCTTGAGGAAGCACTATTCCTAGTTGTCTGAGAAAGTGCCAGATTGATTTCCAGAGTGGTTGTACCAGAAATAAACCCACACACTTACGGACACCTGATTTTTGACAAAGATGCCAAAAGCATACAATGGAAAAAAGGATGATCTTTTCTAGTTCCATCCATTTGCCTGTAAATTTCATGATTTTCTTGTTTTTAATTGCTGAGTAGTATTCCATTGTATAAATGTACCATAATTTCTGTCTCCATTCTTTGGTTGAGGAGCATCTAGGCTGTTTCCAGATTCTGGATATTACTAATAAAGCTCCCATAAAAATAGTTGAGCAAATGTCCTTGTATGGATAAACATCTTTTTGATATATGCCCAGGAGTGGTTTAGCTGGTCTTGAGGTAGCACTATTCCCAGTTTTCTGAGAAAGCACCAGATTGATTTCCAAAGTGGTTGTACAAGTTTAAATTCCCACAATGGCAATGGCATTCCCACAAAAGCAATGGTGGAGGGGTCCCCTTTCCTCATAACCTCTCCAGCATGTGTTGTCAAAAATGTGTCTTCTAAAAGTCTCCACTTTTAGGGGGTTGAAGCAGATACAGAGACTCACAGCCAAACTTTGGACCAAGCTCAGGGAGTCTAATGGAAGAAGGAGAAAAGGAACCCAGAGGGGACAGGAGCCCCTGGGAGACCAACAAAGATAAAAAAAAAAATTACAGCACCCAGGGGGGACTGCAGAGACTGATGCATCAACCAAAGATCATGCATAGAGAGAACCTAGACCCCTTTCTCAGATGTAGTCAATGGACAGCTCAGTCTCCATGTGGGGCCCCTAGGGGAGAAGAGACAGTCTCTGACATGAACTCAATTGCCTGCTCCTTGATCCTTTCTCCCTGGTGGGGAGACCTAGCCAGCCCACAGTGGAAGAAGATCCAGGCAGTCCTGATGGGAACTGATAGACAGTAGGGGAGGAGGACTTCCCCTATCAGTGGACTAGGGAAGAAAGATAGGGGAGGAAGAGGGAGGAAAAGTGGGAGTGGTAGAAGATGAGGGAGAGCGCTGAGCTGGGAAATAAAATAAATAAATTGTAAATAATAATAAGAATAACAGAAAAAATAACAATGCCAAAGTCTGGAGAGTACTCAACTATTTGCAAACACACATCTTTCTCTCTCTCTCTCTCTCACACACACACACACAAAACAACAAGCAAACAAACAAACAAAAACAAACAAACAAGAAAACCCAAATACAATGGTAAAATATTTAAAAGTAAATGAAAGTAGTATTTATGGGATCATAACAGAATCATAAGCCTTTTTTTTTAAACATATACCATGCCTCTAGTTCATAATCTCAAGTCATCAAAGAAACAGAATAATGCCATCCATAGTCAAAGGAAAATATAAATTCATAGTAACAACTCCAAGGCTTTGCAGATGCTGTAATTAATTAGCATGGACTTAAGGTATTGGTAAGATGAAAACGAAAAAAAGCCACATTTAATCAGTTAAAATTTAAAAATTGAGTAAAAGCAAAATAGAAAATATAGAACAGATATTAAAAAATTAAACTGGCCTTCTGCCTTTACCATTACTACACCTTATATTAGAGATACTGATTCCAGAGGAGAAACTGGACAGATGTGAAGTAGGTCTTCATGCAGGAGACTATCTTACCAAATGATTCTGTTAGTTTTTCCATAGAAATATCGAGCTTTATTTACAGGGCTTTCTTCTAAGGACTTCACTAAAGCATTGTAATCGACAAGAAACCTCATATCAGAACTGTTTCCTTTGTCACTAGGCACTAGATGAACCAGCCAGGACTGACGGCAGCTCCAAGCCCAGTGTACTAGACCTACCAGTGGAGGTAATGACTTCAGCTTACCCTGTTTTGGTATGCAATGCCCAAACTCCTTGCTAACCCCGTGCCTGGTTTCACTTCTTCCAGTTGTGTTTTCCTGCACAGCTCAGGCAGCAAACTGAAGAGCTCTGTGCTACTATTGATAAGGTCTTGCAGGACTCCTTGTCTATGGTAATGCCGTAGAGTAGAGCGTGCTATTCAAACCTTTGCTTTGCTTTTCTTCATTTCCCTCTATCTTGCCATGATGCCTCATGGGCTTATTCTTCCTTTTTTTTTTCTTCTGTTCTTTTCTTTTCCAGCATTCTTCTGATTCTCCTTCACGGCCCCCACAGGCAATGTTGGGTTCTGAAACAATCAAAGTATGTATATGATTATTACAGTTTACCGTGTCATTCAGTTTTCTGCCTAGATGATTTCAAACTGTGATTCGGGGCTTTAGCACATTGAGAAACCAATTCACAGCCAAGTGCAGTGTTCACCTTCTTGCGTTTGCTCACATGCACACACGAAGGCTAGTCTTCGCAGGATCGCAGTGTCAAATTATTTTCTGCTCTTTATCAATTTCAAATAGTTTGAAAACCAATATTCCAGGTCGTTGAATGTTGGACTTTCGTGGATTTACATGTCAGGTTTGTAGCTTATATTAATTTTGGATTGATGTTAACACAGGTTGAATATTAATGTAATTTACATATACTCAGAAATGTAGAATGGGGTATGAGGTTGACTAAAGCAACACTGTCGTAGGTTTTAGGTGGGTGTTAATTCTGCAGTTCTTTCCTTCTTACTGAAGGAAGTGATTTCACTGTTCTGTGACCTAAAGAACCAGAACTTCAGAGGCATTAGAGTGTCAGACTTGTTGTGTTATATAGTTGCTTCTTTCTCGTAAAGGAGCCATAGTCATTTGCTAGGATAAAGTACATAGTTCTGTAATTTTACACCTTTCGATGTTTAATGTAGCTCTATGCATCCTAATTTCAAAACACATTTTGTTTTTCACTTTTACATAACTATTTCTTTTTTATCATTTTCAGCCTTGTTTTCTCTCTTTCAACGAATACAAATACCTTTGGCATAAACTATTTACAAAGGAACATTGTGTACCTGAAGCAGGCTTTGAACATAGGGATGCTCATGATTTAAAAGAGTAGACCACATCAGGGCTGGTTGCATAGTCTTCCTCTGTGGCCTGGCAAGACTGCACACCCCAGGGAGAGGTGATAAGAAAGGTTGCCACTGAGTTCATGCCAGAGACAGCCCCTACTCCTGTTACTAGGGAACTCATTTGGAGACTGAGGTACCCTTGGGCTACATCTGAGCAGGGGCCAAGGCGGGGCAGAGGGGAAGAAGAGGGAGGGAGGGTGGGAAGGGAGGAGATGAGAGGGGGCCACAGCTGGGATACAAATTCAATAAATTTAATAAACGATAAAAAGAGGAGTCCACAGTTTCAGTTGCAACAGATAAATATTATGAATTATGTTTTTTTTTGTGGTTTGTATGGCCTTGGGCTTTGAGGCCCCAGAAAGATAAAGACAAGCCAGGTGGAAATCATAAGGAGCTTACTATAGATGTGGAAGAAGAGATAGAATTTACTCTGAGATACACACGTAGAATAGAGTCTGAAAGATCAGTGATAATATCTTCAGGCAAAGGCATAGTAAGTATGAATTTCCTGAGGCAACATGTCTTGGTTTTGTGAAGATGTTGAAAAAGTTAGTGTATTTGAAATTTAGTGAGCCAGGGACAAATAGCATAAAATTCGCTTGAGAATCTATTTGTCATGGTTTGATATTTGGACTGGAAGGAAAATAGAAAGATATGAAAATGATCATTCTGGCAGCTGGGCTGAGGCTACTGAGGAAGCCAGAAGTACAGTGACTGTTGGTGTAACTGGAGAGGTAGATTAAAAGGAGCCATGGAGAAGCAAATGGGTTTGTGGCTTGATAACAATTCAGAGATGAGCAAGAAAGAAGAGAAGCCATGAACAGCTGCCCAACAGCTCTGCTCAGGGCAGATAACAGTGAAATAGGTTCAGAATAGTGGAGGACAGAGGGTGTGGTAATTAAAATAGCATTTGTATGAGAATTGTCTGAATGGAGTTGTTCAGGTATGCAGCTAGCAGGAGATATGTGGGTATCACATACTGCAAGCCTGTACAAAGTTACACGGAAGAAAACATTACAGGTAAGTACAGCCAAACATAGTGAAAAGGTTATGCTAAGAGGAGAATCAGACACTCTAAACCTGTTAGAAGAAAAAAGGGTGGGGGGGGGAAGAGCCTAGAACTCATTGACACAGGAGACAACTTCCTGAGCAGAACACCAACAGCACAGGCTCTATGATAAATAATCGATAAATGGAACCTCATGAAACTGAAAAGCTTTGTAAAGCAAAGGACACTGTTGTCAGAACAAAAGGACAGCCTACAGATTGGGAAAGGATCTTCACCAATCCTATATCTGACAGAGGGAAAATATCCAGGATATATAAAGAACTAAAGAAGTTAAACAGCAACACATCAAGAAATCCAATTTAAAAAATGGGGTACAGAGCTAAACAAAGAATTCTCAATAGAGAAAATATTGAATAGCAGAGAAACACTTAAAGACATGCTCAATATTCTTAGCCATCAGGGAAATGCAAATCAAAGTAATCCTGAGATTTCACCTTACACCCATCAGATTAGCTATGATCAAAAATTCAAGTGACAACACGTGCTGGAGAGGATGTGGAGAAAGGAGAGCCCTCCTCCATTGCTGGTGGGAATGTAAACTTGTACAACCACTTTGGAAATCAATCTGGCTCTTTTTCAGACAATTAGGAATAAGACTACCTCAAGATCCAGCTATACCACTCCTAGGCATATATCCAAAAGATGTTCAAGTATACAACAAGGACATTTGTCCAACCATGTTTGTAGCAGCTTTATTTGTAATAGCCAGAATCTGGAAACAACCCAGATGCCCCTCAGTTGAGGAATAGATACAGAAATTGTGGTATATCTACACAATGGAATACTGCTCAGCAATTAAAAACAAGGAAATCATGAAATGTGCAGGCAAATGGTGGGAACCAGGAACAATCATCCTGAATGCGGTATTCCAGAGGCAGAGAGACACACATGGCATCTACTCACTGCTAAGTGGATATTAGACATAGAATACAGGATAAACATACAAAAATCTCTACACCTAAGAAGCTCAGCAAGAAGGAGGACCCTGGGTAAGCTGATCAGCCCTCATTCAGAAAGGCAAACGGGATGGACGTTGGAAGAGGGAAAAAAACAGGGAAAAGGACAGGAGCCTACCACAGAGGGCCTCTGAAAGACTCTACCCAGCTGGATATCAAAGCTGATGCTGAGACTTATAGCCAAACTTTGGGCAGAATACAGGGAATCTTAAAAAAGAAGGAGGAGATAGAAAGACCTGGAAGGGATAGGAGCTCCAGAAGGAGAGAAAAAAAATCTCGGCACAGGGATCTTTTCTAAGACTGATACTCCAACCAAGGACCATTCATGGAGATAACCTAGAACCCCTGCACAGATGTAGCCCATGGCAGTTCAGTGTCCAAGTGGGTTCCATAGTAATGGAAACAGAGACTGTCTCTGACATGAACTTAGTGGCCTGCTCTTTGATCACTTCCCCTTAGTGGGGAGCAGCCTTACCAGGCCACAAAGGAAGACAATGCAGCCAGTCCTGATGAGACCTAATTGACTAGGACCAGATGGAAGGGGAGGAGGACCTCCCCTATCAGTGGACTTGGGGAGGGGCATGGGTGGAGAGGTTTGAGGGAGGGTTGGATTGGGCGAAGATGAGAAAGGGGGCTACTTTTGGGAAACAAAGTGAATAATCTGTTATTAATAAAAAATTAATTAATTAAAAAAGAGGAGAATCAAAGCAGTATGCTATCAAGAAAGACAGCCATGAGAGTGTAAAAGAGAGTAGAATTGTGTTTAGCTATCAAGAGGGAGAAAAAATAATTCTAGAAGAGAAGTTATGAGATTTGATTTGTATATTTTAAACTGTATTACTGATGCTTATAGATATATTATTCTCAAATCAAAAATTTTATAACTTTGCTAGAATATAACCTTTTTTTAACCATAGAGATTTACTTGTGTGATAAAGTAACCTTATATTTAAATGTTTTAAAAATGTTTTCTGCATGTATCTTCTCCTATACTTTTATCTTTTGTCTTTTCAATCCCTTACCCTTTGCACAGTTTTCTTTAGGGTTACATATTTCTATATATTACTTCTATAATTAATGTAAGATTCTGTTTATTTGTAAATTTAGGCCAGTTACGTTATTGTAATATTTGTCATATCAGTATGACCTCTATTACTATTAATTAATATTTTCAACTTAGATCTTTTTGTTCTTTTTGGTATTCTGATTAATTTTTTTTCTTTCAGTAACCCGACACTTACTAATTTAAAATTTTTAAAAATTGAGAATGTTGTTATTCATCTTGTTATTTTTGTGGTTGCACACACATTAAGGACACACATTAAGGACTGTTAGGTGTGGGTAAAGCATTTCACACTGGATGACTGAAGAAAGAGAGACAATAGAGGATATAATAAGGCTTTATAGCAGCAAGGTAGACCAGTCTCCGGGGACTAAACCCCAAGCAGCTTTGTAGAAGCACATTGATTGATTGTTATAGAAAAGCTAATTTTAGAGTGAGTCAAGATCCTCGTACCAGAGCCCGTGATCTGATTTATATGCTGCCTGTGGGAACACATGACTCACAGGCTTCTCAGTCCTTATTGTGCACCTTTTGAAGTGTACAATAATACATGAATTACAGGTTTTCAGGAATGTCTTGTGACTGTGCCGTGCTAAGTACATAAAGCTCCTTCAGAAACACAGCTCCATGAATCTCAGAAAACAATCCCTAATCAGATACAAAAGTCTTCCTCAGCGCTTAGGTCTGTCTAAAACACTCTCAACACTCTGGTGTTCATGCCAGATACAGTGGCTTTATTAATTTTCCACCACAGTTGGGTTTATGTAAAGCTCATAAATGTCCATTTCAGTATTATATGAAACAATATTTTTCCCTTTTTACTTGTTTTTAGTAAAAAGCAAACACACAGATACATACTATTTGTTAGTATATTTTAGAGTTGTGTCTGAAATTTTATGTATATATCTTTTAATTTCTTCTTTATTTAGATCTTTCATTTTCACGCATTTATATACTTATTATTTTTTTAATTAATTACAGTTTATTTACTTTGTATCCCCCCTGTACCTCCCTCCCTTCTCCCCTCCCAACCTTCCCCTCCTTCTTCCCCACCTGTGTCCCTCTCCCAGTCCACTGAAAAGGGAGGTCCTTCTCCCCTTCCCTCTATCAGGTCTCATCAGGAGTGGCTGCATTGTCTTCTTCTGTGGCCTGGTAAGGCTGCTCCCCCCTCAGGGGGAGGTAATTAAAGAGCAGGCCAATCAGTTCATGTCAGAGACAGTTCCTGTCCCCATTACTATGGAGGCCACTTGGACACTGATCTGCCATAGGCTACCTCTGTGCAGGGATTCCAGGCCATCTTCATGAGTGGTCTTTGGCTGGAGTATCAGTTTTAGAAAAGATCCCTGTGCCTAGACTGTTTGGATCTGTTGCTGTCCTTGTGGAGATTCTGTCCTCTCCAGGTCTTACTATCTCCCTCTTCTTTCATAAGATTCCCTGCACTCTGCCAAAGTTTGGCTATGAGTCTCAGCATCTGCCTTGATACCTGGAAGGGTAGAGCCTTTCAGAGGCCCTCTGTGGCAGGCTCCTGTCCTGTTCCCTGTTTTAAATGAAGTCCACAAAATATACAAAAATAGATTAGGTTGAAGCAATCATAAGCACAATTATAAAAATAAAAAAAAAGTGTATCTGTATCCAGCCCTTAGTTGAGGAATGGATACAGATATACTTACTTTGTATTGTTTTTGTAATTGTGCCTATGATTGCTTCAACCTAATCTATTTTTGCATATTTTGTGAACTTCATTTGTGATAAAATGTCTATTTTGCTTATTCATTTAAATATAGATCTTGGCTTGACAGGTTGGCTCAGTGAATAAAGACACTGTCCCCAAGTGTGATAGCCCAAGTTCTACCTGCTGGCCATACAGGGTAGAAGGAGAGAACTGACTCCTGCAAGTTGTCCTTTGACCTTCATGTGCACACTGTAGGAGCGCGCGCGCGCGCACACACACACACACACACACACACCACAGACACACACTTAATAATGTAATTAAAATTATCGTTTTGCAAAAATGGGATGATAGATCTTTTCTTTGACCTCTGTCTGACTGGATTCTCTTTTTTTATACTTATGAAATATTTTTTTGTCACCATGATATATGTAACTGCTAGAGGGTGGCCATTTTTTATTTGGCTCTGTAAACACTTTAAATATGGACTAAAAATTGCTAATTTTTCCTATAGATATATAGGAGTGGATTTTCATCTTATTTAACTCTACTGTTGTTGCCTATGATCTTTCATCTAGTCTTTAGACTTCTTCCCTAAGTTCTGCAGATAATTTGGCTACATGTTTGTCTGATGCCTAGAATAGCAACAATAATGTCAGCACTAGGGTTTGCCAACGTTGCCAAGGTTCTCTCACTATTTTCAGAGTAAGAGGAATGTCAACCTCAGAACACACATGCTCTCTAGTACCGACTTCCCCATTGCAAATGCTTTAGACTGTAGGGACCCTGGGTCTCATCCTCCTCCCCCGCACCTCTGCTTACAGCTCTCTTCTAGTCACTGTCGTGGTTGTCATCACAGAGGAAGAGTTCATCAGAAAACTAGCAGTTGCTATCAGCTGTTTAACCGTGCAATAAGCTGCTTCCTTTTCTGCAGCCAGTACAAAAGAGTCTGGTGACAAAGTCTACTCTCAGAGTGTGATACATTGCTTGACTTATCCCTGATGTTTTAAAATATTGTAAGAAAGCAGAGACAAAAATATCAAAATGCCAACAGTAAAAAAAAAAAAAAAAAAAACATAGAATAAAATAACACCTGGCGTTATTGTGAAAAAGATATAGCAATTAGTTAGTAATGGGATCAAGGAAGACATTTTTGTGAGGTACTCATTCTACAAAAGAGTAGAGATGCTGAAGAAAAAAGTCTATCTAGAATCAGATGTTGATTCAAAGCGTAATGTGTTATTGTCTGATTCCCTCCTCCAGGAATTAAAAATCCTAGAATCATCATCGATGTTATGGTACTGAAATGTGGGGTTTTTAAAGTGTGACTAGGACATGGGGATGAAGTCTTAATTGATGGGATTATGAAAAAGAGAGAGAGAGAGAAACTTCTTACGTCTTCTACCATGTAAGGAAACAAGAAATTTCAAACTGTGAAGGAGAAAACAGGACCTTACCATACAATGAATCAATCTAAGCCTGTCCACCCTCTAGAACTGAGAAAATTAAAAACCTGTTGTTTGCAAGCTACCCAGCCCATTGCATTTTGTCTTAGACAGTCTGAGACATTATTCTTTGATAAGGAAGAGAGACCAGCTTCCACTATAGTAGGACAAATAATAGAAGACCCAAGTCCAGACATAAGGATAGTTAGAAGATGCAGCCAAGAAATTAATTTCTTGAATGATCTTACTTCACACACACACACACACACACACAAAACACTTTTTAAAGGAGTAAGTTTAAGTTAATAACTGAGCACCATGTTCTTCCAGTTTTTTTTTTTAATGTTACTATATCTTGCTCGAGTCTGCTCGCTCATCTGCCTTTCACAAACTGACCAATATGGGAGTGCCTAGAGAATCAGTCTCTGGGTTTCTCTCTGTTGCTCAGCCCTGTGAAAATCATATACAGGCTTACAGCTTCAAATATATACCTCTAGTCCAGTACTTTTTCCAGTTTTAGATTCCTAACTATTTAGTCCTTTTTTTTCCTTTCATAGTCACAAAAAAATCTTTCAAGTTCAACATGGATGAAGATACAGACATTTTTCCCCCCAAGTGAGACCACCACTTTTTCATAACTGTTGATAGTATTCTTTCATTTGTCTAAGTTCATAAACTTTGCATGTATTTCTTCTCTTTTTGTTACATTCAGCATCTCCTCTTTTTTCACTATTGCATCAAAATATCCATAGAATGTGCATATTTCATAGCTTCTGTGCTACTAAATAACCGTCATATTTTGTGGACGGGCACAGTAGCATCATTGTTATGTGGGTACATCACTCTACTCTGTTCTTAATATACCAAACAGAGATCCTGTTAAATTATTCATTTATGACTCTTGTGTTAAATGTATATATTTTCCTCAGAATATAAGTCAAAGCCCCTATAAAATGTCTTATTATCAGGTCTCCAAACACTATCATGGTTTGTCCTTCCCTGGGACTCTCTACTCTGCATTGAGCCCAGGTAGCCTTTTTACTATGTTTTGAATATCCCAAAAGGCTACTTGTTAGCATATTTAGTTGTTTGATTCTAGAACTTCTCAAGTTAATACTGTAGACTAACCATCATGAAGAACAAGTGCAGTCTTTTGGGTCACTCTTGTGGCTCAAATCTGCTCCTGGAAAATCTTGTTCTAACTTCAGAAAATAGATCTAGGAGAAAAAATATTGGGGGATTACCAAGTCACATAGATTGTGCACAGGTGATGTTGATGAGCATTTATTTAGCATGAAATCAAGCTGTGGTTGAGAGTTCCACAGAAACATTCTACTTCTCAGGTGTAAGTATAGAGATAAATAGATCAGAGAGCTCAGGCAGGACTGCTGTTCTTGTCTCACAAGGGAATTTGTCATATAAAGAGAAAAAGGCAGAAATGAAAGCATTAAACACAAGACCATGAGATAGGTGCAAACCAAGAGGCGATAGAACCAGAATAAAGTTAGTGAGGGTAAATTATATTCAAATCCCATTGTAACATAGCAGATAGCAGAAGTACTAGAAACCTGAACACGTGGGTAAAGAGGGAGAGTTTTGGAAGAGAGACATTTGAAGTTGAAATTTCAGAGAGCTTACATGTTATTCTTGGAGGTAAAGTTGGGTTTGGTTTTCAAAGTAAATGACTGACATGGGATGAATGTCTTTAGATATAAGGAATGCGATGAACTGACAGAACAGAATTTTCTAGTGGATTTTGAGACAGCCAAAAATCATAGAAGAAATATGATGAGGCACTCATGATAATGCTAACATTATCAACAGATAAAAGGAAACTGCCACAGTATTGACAAGTGATAGCTGTGGAGACAATAATTTAACAAAGAAGTATGATTTAATTAAGCAGTTTTCAAAGATAAATGGAATTGTATATAGTTCATGGTTAGAAAGTCTCGATAGAGAAAAGGATGCATTTCTGCCTTAAATTCTGAACCTTTCATTGTTCACTGATTATTGAGACGCATAATTATTTTTATTTTCATGCAGACTCCTACAACTCATCCAAGAGCCGCTGGCCGAGAAACCAAATATGTAAGTATCTTTCTAACTAGGCTTGCTCCTTTTTCAGTGGAGGCCTCCACATACTCTAAAGGCAACTCAGCTCCACAGCAATTCTAATGGAATTTGTTCACTCTTTCATAAATGGAAAGGGGCCGGATGCTATGATTGGTCCCGACATAAGACATAAGAAAACAGATTATGTCATGCATACAGCATCAAGTAACCTTATCAGTTGAATTCCTCCTTAACTGAATTATTATTGTCTAATCCACTTAGCTAAACAAAGCAGAACGGTATCACCTGCCCTTTTGTACCTTCTGTGTTTACCTGCTCTTTGATCACCTCCCCCTGAGGGGGAACAACCTTACGAGGCCACAGAGGAAGACAATACAGCTGCTCCTGATGAGACCTGATAGACTAGGGTCAGAAGGAAGGAGAGAAAGACCTCCCCTATCAGTGGACTTGGGGAGGGGCATGTGTGGAGAAGGGGGAAGGAGGGTGGGGTTGGAAGGGGAGGAGGGAAGGGGCCATGGGGAGGATACAAAGTGAATAAAGTATAATTAATAAAAATTAAAATAAAAAATGGAAAGAAAAAATAAATGTAAAAAAGAAAAAAAAGAAATAGTCAACTCATGTGCTTGACACACTGTTAGTCCACATCCAAAAGACCAGTTTAACCGAATGTTTAGTTTGTTGCTGACTGATGTTTAAACTAACAGGCAATTCAGTGTCTGTTTATGCAAAAGTCTCAACCAGGGGACTGGAGCGATGGCTTGGGGGATGAGAGAACTGTTTGCTCTTGCAGAGCATTTGGCACCCGCGAGGTAGCTCACGACTGACTGTAACTCCAGTTCCGGGGGATCTGATGCTAATTTTTGGTACCCGGCAGGCAACAAGCACTCATACACCCAAACATGCACAAACAAATAAATAAATCTTCTAGAAGAATACTTACAGCAACAGATATGTAGATATGAACTCACGTGCTCAATTGAAATGATGCCGGGCTGGCTTTGTAAGCTACGCACATAGGCCCTTCCTGTCGCTTGTGTCGTGACTGTGCTTCTGCACGAACATGTTATGTTATAAATGGGACAGATTCCTAGCAAGTCTTGTGCATTTAATCTCAAATAACTCATCAGGCTACTGCTTTTACAGCACCCCTGATTTCCCTAGTCTAGTTTACACCATTATTAATGTGTTATTAATGTGTTTTGTGTGCCATGGCATCACCACGCTTCACACCTTGCCGCCTACATTTGGCTCTCCCTAAGGCAAACAATAAGCTCCGTGAAATTATTAAATTTTACCACATTCGGGAAATGAGGTTTAGAGGATGTGGCAGGAACACAGTTCAGAGCATTTCCTGGAAGCATTCTCTGTCAGTTTCCATTATGATTGGAAGCCCTTTGGAGAAATGCTCCAAAAGACGTTAGAAGGCTAGACCCTGATAGAAACTGTTGCTTCTGAGGAAGATCGCTTACTTTACTGTGCCTTCAGTTTCATCCATGAGATAGGGAATTGCGATAGCTTTCTCATTTGATTAACTGAAGGTTTATATAGTCCTCGCAGGAAAAGACTGTAGAGCAATTTTAACACACTGGAGTTATTCATAAATCGTAGTCTCTCTCTTTCTTTCCCCTTCTTTTTTGCCTTCGTCTATACCTCCTCCCTTCTCTTACATCTATCTATTGTGAGGAGACTAGAAGCCTCATGATTGGAGTTCCTTGATTCTTTAGTGGGCACAAGGAAAGATCACTCTTTAAAAATATCTTTTTCTTGGGGGGGGGAATGTGACTTATGGATTCTGTGGTCATAAGAACTAGTCCCAGGAAAAAAAAGAGCTAACATCTTTTTCTCATCAATTGCTGCAGTTTCACAAAGCGTTCACGACTAGACCACCTTTCAGGCATGTTTGGCAGCTGCTAGCTTCTAGCTAACCACACCCTGGGGGTGGTATCTTGATGTAATAGCAGCTGGAATAGTTCTGGAAGGGCTGCTTCGATCGCCACAGATTATTTTAATGTATTCCTTTAAAGTCCATATTTATTTTGCACGAGTGTGTGTCTGTAATAACTGCCCTTGGGTGGGTGTGGAGACCAAAGACTGACATCATGAGGCTTGGCAACCACGTTGCACTTTATTTGCCAAAGCAGGGACCCCCACTTGAACTTGGAGGTTTTCACGTTAGCTAGTCTAGCTAGCCAGCTGGATCCAGGATCACTGTCTCTGAGTACTGAGGTTTTAGGTGGCTTGCCATGTCTGGTGAGGGTACAGGCCTGAGGTCCTCAGGCTTTCACAGCAACCATTTTACTCACTGTCATCTACCCAGGCTCTTAAAAGGTTCTTTATTATTAGACCTAGTAATAAATTATTTTTCATCTCATAGCTTATGAGAGCAGTTGAATCATTTTAAGTTAACTGTGAATCATTAAACAAGTTCAGGATTAGATTGGAACAAACATAACTTTTATTTTATTAAAAATCTTGACCTTGAAGTTTGTTTCTTGAGCAAGAAGCTTTGCTTTTCACATATTCTTTCTTTTTATTAATTTATTTTTTTATTAATTAATATTAATTTATTTTTTATTCAATTTGTATCCCAGTTGAAGCTCCCTCTCTCATCCCCTCCCACCCTCACCTTTTCTCTGTCTTCTCCCATGCCCCTCCCCAAGAAGGATAGGGGAGATCCTTCTCCTCTTCCCTCTGACCCTAGCCTATCAGGTCTCATCAGGACTGGCTGCATTGTCTTCCTCTGTGGCCTGGTAAGGCTGCTCCCCTTCAGGGGAAGGTGATCAAAGAGCCAGCCACTGATTTCATGTCAGAGACCATCCCTGTTCCTCTTACTAGGGAACCCACTTGGAGACTGAGCTGCTATGAATACATCTGAGCAGAGGTTATCTTCATGCATGGTTCTTGGTTGGAGTATCAGCCTCAGAAAAAGACCCCTGTGCCCAGATATTTTTGGTTCTGTTGTTCTTGTGGAGCACCTGTCCCTTCCAGGTATTTCTAGCTCCTCCTTCTTTCATAAGATTACCTGCACTCTGCCCAAAGTTTGGCTGAGTCTCAGCATCTGTTTTGATACCTTGCTGGGTAGAGTCTTTCAGAGGCCCTCTGTGATAGGCTCCTGTCCTGTTCACTGTTTTCTCCCTCTTCCAATGTCTTTCTCATTTACCTTTCTGAGTAAGGATTGATCATCTTACCCAGGGTCCTCCTTCTTGTTTAACTTCTTTATGTGTACAGATTTTCGTACGTTTATCCTGTATTATATGTCTAATATCCAGTTATAAGTGAGTATATACCAGGAGTGTCTTTCTGCTTCTGGCATACCTCACTCAGGATGATCTTTTCTAGTTCCCACCGTTTGTCTGCGAATTTCATGATTTCCTATTTATATACTCTTTCAATATAACATTTAAATGTGTGTCATCTCAAATATGTCCATGTCTTTGGAAGATGTTTTTTTCAAGATTTTATAATGGCAGATAGAACCGGTTCTTTGATGTCAACTTATAGACACCATTACACAGCTGCTGTTGTTGTAATTATTAAGCAACAGCTGATGCATTCACTCTGAGAATAATACAATTTTAGGACAGAAGTTCAGTTTAGCTTTAGGTCGTCTTCTTATATCAACCATCTGTCTTTAACACAATACATTCTGACTTTAAAAAATGAACAAGGCAATAACTCATTTTTGAAATTCTAATATAATGGATAAAACACATGATGTTTCATGAAAGTACAAATTGAATAGTTTTTACTCCATTAATTTATCATTGTAGTTTTCTCTCATGTCCTGTCAGAGCAACTTTGAGAAGTTTGTGGACTAGTATTTTAGTATTTCATTCTCCTGGGGAAATTAGGCATGTTCACAGAAATACACATGCTGAGGCTCTGTGTTTTATTACCTTTGAGGAGAGTCCCGGATTCAGTTCAAAAGCAGGGGCCGTGCAGTTCACCAGCCCGTGTAGCACAGAGAGGACAGAACAAGGCAGGGTTAAAGTCAAGAAGAGAACTGAGTTGTGCTTGTGGATATCTGGAGCAAGTTAGCTCCAAAAACACTCGTTTCAAATACGATTCAGGGATCATTAGTAATGAGAATACTAGTTAAAATTTCCTAACTTTGTTGTCCAATTTTCCACTGTTCTTCATTGATTTGACAAATATTTATTGGCCATCTTGTACAAGTCATTGAGGGTTTACTCGGTTGAGTGAAATGAACACAGTGGCAAGGGTCTCACTTCTAAATGTCAGTGGAGGCCATAACAAGAAACTGACAGAACAAATGAACTCTTCACTTTCTTATAGAAAGAGGGAGAACAGGCCACAGAATTGGATGATTTTAAAGGAGATAGGCAGAGTAGGTACTTCCTGGTGTACCAGCATGTCAGAGTGCTCATGGGATTTCCTATTTTTCTGTCGTGGTTGTAATAGCTTAATTAAGTAATAAGGGTTTTATGGATTATTCCATATGAGTCTTGGGTCTTAGAAGAGAAAGAGAGAAAGAAAAGTGGTGGAGAACAAGAGAAAGAGAAGGGAAGGGAGGGAGGAAGGAAGGAAGAAAATAATATAAATGAAAAAAGGGAGAGAAGAAGGGGGGAAATGCGTAGACAATAATGTCTCTTTGGAATTTATTAAATGTTTACTATATTTTACAGTCCATTTTAGTTTGAGTCTGGATCAATGAAGCCCTCATTACTGTAGATTGATTAAAGGTTTCTTATTGTTTCTCCCAATTCTTGGGAGAGTTACTTTAAAGACCATTTTTAAGTAATTTAGTTGAGATATCCTTAAGTGTAATAGAAACAAAATAGATCTAATGACATATTGACCATGTAGTGTTAGGTCTATTGTAGGACTGAATGGATCATTTTATGAATCATTTCCTTTCAGTATTAAACAGATGCTAAATTCAGCAATAGTAGCTAGTGCCAAATATACTTTAACTAGTTTACTTAAACCAACCATGAGCCCTATGAGGTGAGTTTTATTATTACAAAATTTCCAGAACCTCCTCCCCTCTTCTTCTAGTTCTGGGACTCAAACCCAGGCACTTGTATATGGTAGGCAGCTGATCTACCACTGAGCTGCATCCTAGACTTCATATTGAGGCATTTTTTTTGTCCCCTTTGTGAAATAATAACTTATATTAAAACACTACTTCAGTTTTCATTCAGTCTCTTGGCTTTGGAAGAAGATTTTTCTCTGCTTTACCTTTATTATTTTGATGAACTCTCACCTGTATTTCATTCATGTAATTTAAAAATTACAGCATGCATTCTTAATAAAATCTAATCTTAGAAAATAGAATATTTGTGCTTCTAATGAATTTATCAAAAACCCTTGATTCTGAAATAACATTCTATTTGATAATAACTTATTTCATGAACTTTTTACATTTCATGAATTACTTTTAAGTTCCATGAAAGTAAATGGTACAACCTTATTGAATATACGATAGTTTATAGGTAAAATCTCATTTTAATGAGCTAGAGGGACAGAAAATGTCATTACAGTGGAGGAATATTGATTCCTAAATATCACAATATATTGAAAAATGTGTCAAACCTTATTAAGAATATTTCCCACTCTATACACAGATATTCAAATAAAGGTCACCTTCTCTCATTTACAGGGCTCTCACATTCTTCTTGTTGCTATGCTTGGAGGCGTTGCTATGCTGGAGTGATTCAGGCACTGCTCAGCAGAAGGCATAGATCTTAGGGGAAAGGGTAACTCACATCCCACTTGGGGTCCAGATCTGCTTCCAGAGAATGAAGCCAGAGGCTGATGAGTTATAGGAAGAGTTGTACACAATGGAGACAAGAAATGCTGGTCTACCAATTATCGTCATTTATTCTGTTTCCTGTTCAGATGTGCCTCTGCAGTGCATGCGCACATGGAAGGGCCTGAGGGAAGAGCAGAGGTTACCATCAGCCTCTGCTCCACTAGAACGAAGAGGACTGAATCAGTTCCAAGTCTGACATTCACGAGAGGATATGATTTTATGCAACTTTAGAGTTTCTCCAATATGGGTTCCAAGGAAAATGGAGCTCCAGACAGTGACTAAGGGGCCTGGAGGCACTTTATGACCTTGGTATTATGTTTTTAGGAAGCAAGATTAGTTTCTCTAAAGCTGGCTCGCATAGCTGGGGTCCCTGTGTAGTCATTTGTCTTTCAGTGACAGTCACATCTTGGCTTTGTAGTCTTTTAGTTCCTGTGTAACCTAATTGTATGTGAAGCATGGTTCCACACACTTCTCTTGTCAGAGTGTGGAGGCTGCTGCAGGAAGGTCATGGGATTGAGCCTCACTTGGGCTGTACTGAGACCCTAGAAAACAGCAACCAACACACCCCAAACCAAAGCCAACCAACCCAAAGACACAACTAACAGAATTTCTGTGATGTTAAAAAAGTTGTAACCTTACTGAAAATGCACTCTACTAGTTTATAAAATTTTATACTTGTCTTTAACTGACAAATAATTTTATATTCATGGAAAATACAGTGTGATGTGTCTGATCTGTGCATATGTTATAAAAACTTGAAGCACATTAATCAACATAGAGATCTCCCTACCAAATTGCACGCTTTATATGGGGTAAGAATTTGAAAAGTAGACTTTAGTAAATTGGAAGAACATGTTATTGGTCGCTACAGAACAGCTCTGTTAATTACTCACACACTCAGCCTGAATGAAGCTTCATCATCAGTTTCCTTCAACATCATCTTTTCACCTCCCCTCTTCTTGGCTGCCCATCTCATCCCCAGCCTCCTCACAGTGAAACACATAATATTATTAAGACAAGTGTGACATACTAACTAGTTGTGGTTGACTTGGAGAACAACGATGAAAGCCAGTGCCAACTGGACAGAAAAGTACCCTGGGATTCTGAAGCCGTTGTCATTCCAGCTCAATTCTAGCATGCTGTTCTACTAAACCATTCATTTCGCTAACATCCATCATATTCATATTCATATTTTTTTTAGGCAAACCTTTCGTCATCATCGTCTACAGTGTCTGAGAGTCAACTGGTACGTATCTTGTTCTGCTTTGCTTACCTCTTTTGAACACTCTTATTTCTCAAGAACTCTGAGCTGAAAGAGAGTAAAGAGATAATTAGTTTGCTCACTTGTCTTACAAAACTTACGGATGTTTTAGTAAAGCCACATGATGGTTGTGTTTTTTAGGTAGCTAACAGGTAAGACAATTTATAGACTGTAGCTACCATTAACTCTGAACAATGGTGTTACGAGATTGGAGTCAGAAGAAAATGTGAATTGAATTGAGAGGGGAGATCACTTCCTGATGAGAGAAATCCCAAACAGTTAAAGGAGAGCATAATAATAATAATAATAATAATAATAATAATAATAATAATAATATAATGTGGAGCAGCTTCTGAATGTGTGGGGATGAAAGAGATCATCACACGTGAGAATTAGCATGTGAATGTACAGATCTATGATAAGCAACCGAAGCGTATAGTGAACAACAAATGTAACTCACACATGAAATTTAAAAAATACTTGACGTTTTTGAGATTATAATATACCTAGATAATTTTTCCTTCTTTCCTTTTCTTCCCCTTCTAAATCTTCCCAGGTACCATTCCCCCAACTCTTTTTAAATTCATGGTGTTTTCCTTGAATTGTTATTACACAATATTTAAAAGTTCATAGTCACTATAAAAAATAAATAAAACAAGTGGACTAATTTCAATAATTGGATGTTATTCTCCTCCTGCCTGGGGTGTTGTTTCCTATCAGCCATGAAGGCAGGAGGGGCAGAAGAGGAGGAGCTTGGAAGGCCTGTGAGAACAACGGAGATCAAACACTTCAGGAAACACTTCAAGGAACTACTTCAGCTTTAATTCCAGAGAACAAAGGCTATACACTCCTTGGGGAGTGAGTGGGGGGTTCCAAGGATAGGTGTACATAATTGGTTAAAACTGGGCACTTCTTACTAGGGAACCCACTTGGAGACTGAGCCTATGGGCTACTCCCTAGTAAGGGGAGCAGGGGCTGTTTCTGACATGAACTCAGTGGCTGGCTCTCTGGTCACCTTCCCCTGGGGGTGCAGCCTTGTCAGGCCACAGAAGAAGAAGATGCAGCCAGTTCTGATTAGACCTAATAGGCTAGGGTCGGAGGGAAGAGGAGAAGGACCTCCCCTTTCAGTGGACTAGGGGAGGGGCATAGGTGGAGAAGAGGAAGGGGTTGGGAGGAGATGAGGGAAGGGGTCACAGCTAGGATACAAACTGAATAAATTGTAATAAATAATTAATAAAAAAATTTAAAAAACCTAGGCACTTCAAGGATGCTTGATTTGCATTATACAACATGCTTCTATTATATGAATGGGAACACAGTACCTAACTATCCTATCGGCACAGAGGGGAGAGCTAGCAGGGAGCTGTGTCAAAGACAGTATGTAAAATGTGATTAGGGGCATCTATGTTTAGAGACCCACTCCAGATGAAGTCAGGCAGCGAGCAGGAGGCCATGCTGCACTTTAACTCAGAGCTCAGAATGGGTATTCTGACTGGGAGGATTGCAACCTCAAACAGCAGGGTCCTTCCAACGATTGGATACAAATGCTAGATAAACATCATTTCAGCAGAACACTGATGTATTTGTACATTCTTTAGAAAGAAAAGTCTTTGAAATGGGCTAAGTATTTACATATCTATCATCTCTCAATTCAAGTAGTAATACTTAGCACATGATTTGAAGGGCTAGTGGTTTGAAGGACTTGAAGGACTCAGCAGTGCTGGAACTGTGACGGGCATTAAAGATCTAACCTCTAGAACATGTCATTTCAACCCATGCCTGGCAGATCACAACTATACCCCAGAATCTTGAAGGCAGAGGTGAAAGAAACAGTAACGGGCTCAGGCTAGGCCTTGATGCCTACAGAAGTTGAGAGTAGTTTGGGCTGCATGAGAGTCTGGCTTCAAGAACAGAGACAGACAAAACTGTTGAGTGACACAGTAATTTTATGCCTTTAAAGGTTTTCAGCCTGGCCTATCTACTAGCTTGTTGTCATTACCAGTGTGCAGCTCCAAAGAGTTATGACTCTGAAAATACTTGCATCTGGATTCGGGGTACAGCTGAGTAGTGAAGTACTTAAAAGCGTCAGGGAGACCCGGGTTCAATCCGCTGCACTTTAAAACACAAGCAAACAGTGTGTGGGTGTGCGTGTTGTATGTTTGTGTTTGTGTATGCTGCATTTCCATTGTTTATCCTGGAAGTCAAATGATGTAATATTGAGCTTGAAAGATGATTTTGGGAACTCTTCTGAGACTCACCCACAGTATTAGTTTTTCTTCTATTAACTATCAACACAGTAGATAACAACTGGAAAGGAATTTTCTACCTGTAAGTTGAGTAAGTACTGTGCCCACCTGACAGGATTTTAATGAGGCTCATATAGCACCATTAACTGCTTTCAACATGACCCTGTAGAAAATTATATTATTGTACCCCTTAGGACAATTATATCTTATTGTAAGCGTTAGGTTATTAAAATATATGAGAAGCCATTTTTACAGACGGTGAAGTAGAGGCTGCAGGAATTTAAATAGATTATCTTTGATCAGTACATTAATGTTCATTCTTGTTCTGTGTGGTTTGCCAAAGAAGTCATTATTATTGATTTTTAAGTAGTTCAAGGGGCTTAAGAAACATCTGTTGAGTAAATTGGGAAATGGGCTTCTCAAGAACTGTTATCTTCATTGGCTACCTCCACTGCCTGGCTCATCCCAAAATTTTGCATTGTCTGCTAACTGTGATGATTTGATGAAGAGGGGCAGATAGGGTGAGAGTGAACTGAGTAGGACCATCAGGGGCACTGGATCCAATTGGAAAGCGCTTCCTGTAGCACATTGAAAAGAGCAAGATGAAACAGAAAACATGATCTTTGTTTGAAGCTTTGATGAAGCTTTCCTAATCCTGGAACTGGACCATCTCAGTATTAATAAAAACGGGTTTGTCATCTTTTCTTTACTTGGGAAACAGTTTAATTTGGACAAGACGGGTGAGATCTATTTATTTTTATTTTCCAAGGGGAACGTGGAATGGCTAAATGATGGCTAGCTCTTTTGCCCTTGGAATTCCATGCCATAGCAAATCATTCAGCATTGCTCGGCATGGGCTGCTAAATCTGCAGAGCAGACCGTAAGAGGTTTAGAAAATAAACCACATGGCCACATAGAAGTAAACACAAATGCATCTTACTGGAACAGAATAAAAAAAGAGCCTTAAGCTGGAAGTTACTTTGTCCAGGGTTCCAGGTGCCAGCTGCTATACCCTACTTTACTGGGCATGACTCAGCTTCCTGAGGGCCCTTAAGTCCCTGTTGTTTATAAAGGCTTTTGTGTAGAACTGATGTCTTCTTTAAGCTCAAAGGCGGATTCTCCTTGACCAGTTTTCCTTGATGCAGCATAACTAGGAACCACAGCATTCATCATGTACGCCTCCTCAGCTGTGACTCATGCTATTGTCTTTTTTTTTTCTTTTCATTGAAACAGTTCAGTCAGGTCAATCTGTATTGTGTATATTCCACAAAACAATTCTTGAGCTACGGGACATGCTTTATAATTATTGAATCGCTGTGCTTACTTTTATAGAACTGTTATGGTAGTTATAAAACTTTCAAAAATGAAAACCCAGTAAGTAGATGTTTTTGTGAGTTGTCTAGGGTACTTACAGCTGACGTTGTATATACATTCTATATTTTTAAGTATGTATTTTACCTTTCAAATTTCTTTTATTGTTTTCCTTACAAAGGAAAGCATCTTATCTCCTCGGACCCTTATAATCACCCCGTGCCATCTCAGTAGTCTCATGGCATAAAAATGAATTCTCCTTATTCTCAGGAGATTTACCATATACTAGAAAATTTTGAATTCTGAGATATTTATTTGAAGGGAAAATGAGCATAAGTATTTGATTCAAGTAGTTTCTAATGAATTAGACTCTGTTACCTTTCAAGGATTGAATGAGTGAATCATTACATAAATAAATGAAATAATGCTTATTTTATCTACAATGTAAAATTATAGATTTTGGATTCTTACAAGCTTTTATTTTTTCTGCTACAAAGTTTCTAAAAAAAATGAACTACTGAATGGTGAGAAGATGGAAGCAAACAGACACAAGTAGCAATCGTATCACTTTAAAAAATTTTTGGTCCATCTAATCAGTTGCACTCCTAGCACAACTCTGTTTGCTGTGTGCTACTCTATTGCTTTTTACTTCTGTGTGACTATCTTATGATTCAAAAACAAACAAACAAACAAAAGAGATTACAGACTTGAAAACGTGTCCCTTTTATGTCTTTTGTTCCACATCATATCACCTTATAATTTACGCCTGTAGCTACAGGCAACCTATCATACCATTTGTTGAAGTTACTAATTTAGGGGAGATGTCCCTCTCAGAAGCCATCATTTAAAAATGTTGGCAACAAACTTGCTCAGTCACTGCTGGCAGTAAATCTCCAACTTTGGTCTACGGCCAGAGGCAGTATCCACTTTCTGTCATAGAATTATGATTATAAGTTCTCAAGGCTGAAGACAAATCTAATTTTATGTGCACTAGTAGCAATGCTCAAGTAAAAATGTACATGTGATGGATTATAAATCCAAATAAATAGCATCCTTAGACTAATGCCTTTCAACTCCCCCGACTCCCAAAATAATGTTAGAGGACTCCCAGAACTCTATTCTTTCGGTCTCAGACCTTTTTCCCTGAGCATAACAGTAGAGTGACGTGTGATGTAAGCATATTTCACTCATTTGTATTTTCCAATTTTTTTTGTAATGAATGCATGCAGGGGTGCCTCAACATGCATGGCTTTGGCTTTGGGACTGATATGACTGGAGGGACAGGAATGAGGAAATGACAGGCATACTGAAAAGCTGGGATTGAATGTGTCTTACACCCTGATGGAGACATTCCAGTAGCAGCCTGGAGACTCAGTGCATTTATTTATTATCTACAGCATGAAGGAGGAGTTAGCAAATCTCTGTAGGATTCCCCGTGTTGAGAGAATGCCCTGTAGATTCCCTAAGCTGAGAGTTGTGTTGTATCCATCTTCAATGACACTACAGTTTTGGTGGAGCCTAGGTCCCATTTGATGGAATAGGTCCTCAAAGCCTCAGACAGAGGCGCCATCAAGGTTCGCAAACAGGTGTTTAGTTTTTGAGGCCCTTCATAAGGCCTGCACCTAGAGTAAGTTATTTTTCTCAGTCAGCTTGTCACATTCGCTAACACTCTCCATCTTGAGACTTGTTCTTTCTGTGTTCTGGGCATGAGCTGTGTGAAAAAGTCCTCTCAATTTTTCCATTTATTCCGGATAAAAAAAAAATCACAGAATCTCATTTTCTGGCATAACTAGAGTGATATGTGTCCATCTGTCAAAAGTCTGCTTACTCTACAAGTGACAAGAAGCCCTCAGTGTTGGCTCAGTTGTTAGAGAGTGACAATCTTACAGTAACTCACTTTTATGGACTCCTATTATTTGATTTATATAATTTTCTTTGTGTTTGTTTGCACAGAGACTTAGCAAATTATACTTGTAAAAAAAAATTAAGGAAACCCTTCAAGAGAACTCCTACTTGATGTTCAAGGATAGCAGATTACTTTGAGCTAAGGGAAAAGAGAGATGCAGAATTTGTAAAGAACAACTTGTTCTTCCACAGGAGACAAAAGACCCTTATAAACCAGTGTGTCTGGAATGGCAGGGTCATCTCCAGCTAAGCAGCTCCTTTGACAGAAGGTCTTGTTTAGTGCCTAGTAGTGTTTACTTTGCACACAAATTATTTAGGGATTATTTTTTTTAAGTGCAGGTTCTAATTCTTATGTCAAAAATGGCTCTAGAGTCGGTCCTGTGTAATAGGTTCTCAGGCAATGCTCACAACTTCAAATAGACCATATTCTAAGTGGCAAGGCACTAGGAGACTTCTTGGATGGAAGCCTTGTTTACTTTGTGCTAGATATTTATGCTGAGAAAATACAAATTATGTCATCATTGGACACAGAGAAACAACATATTAGGAAGAACAGAAAGTCGCCATGGAAGGGCCTCCTGTGTGCTCCTGTTAGCCCTTGTTGCATTATGTATATTAAAGGCCTTTGAGGCTGTACTTTGAGGCTACGTTGGGGTGATGGATTTGAACACATAGAAATAAGGCTGATTCAGATACATGATGTGGTGTCATTCCTGAAGAGACGGAAGATTAGGACTATAGTGTGGCACTACCCGTTATGAAAGGGCACAGTTAAAGATTAGAATTATAACACTCCGTGAGGTTTGCTGTATCACATTGATTTCCCAAGATTTATTGTCTAATGCCTGCATTTCAGAAATAAAAACCTGTGTCCTTTTGCTCTCCTTACCCTGCTATCATGCTTTGCAAGTATATTGTTAATCAAATCTAGGTAGTGCCAATTTTAGACTTATTGGGGAAGAGAGAGAGAAAGGGAGTGTATAAGAGGAGAGTGTGTATATATATACATATGTATATATATATATACATATGTATATATGTATGTATGTATGTACATCAGTCAGCATTTGAAACCATGGGGTTCTATCATGTTCTGGGAATATTCAGAAGATCTAGTTGGAAAAAAAGGAAAATGACATAGACTGATGCAGTGGCTTCTCAAAAGCAGGTTGGTAGGAGAAACGAAGGGATGAATTCAATTGAAACAAAATAAAAAATGGAAGGACATCATAATTAAATGTCATGGAGAAGCTGGTGCTTTAAAGATTTTAAGTTCCTGTCCATTGTTCTGTCTGTCTCCTAGGTATATGGGATGCTATATTTATATATATAAACTATTTCCTTAATTTATATATACATATATAAATGTATATATGTATATATAAAT